GTTTATAGGTGAATTTGACAGCGACAATGTTTCAAAATTAGAAAGGGAAGCAGTGATTATTTGATTATATAGACGCTTCGCCCCTGTTCGTCATCTGAAGTGACTCTTTTTGTCAAGAACCACGATTCCTCAACCGCCAGCGTTCCCACAGCAAAGGTTTCTTGTTTGAAACAACAGTTTGACGCATTTTGCCTGCACTAATACTTTCAGTTCTCGTCTTTGCTGACAACACAAGAAGACCAAAACAGGAAGTTTTATACATTACTTATTCATTTTAAACATCACCTGGCTTATTTTATTAATTATTTATTTACTGACAGGGTGTTTTCTTCGGCACCCTGTTTTTTTTACTGGTGCGGGGTTGGGGTAACTTCGACCGACGTTCTAGAGAGTGTAATGTTTGTGTTTGTTTGTGTATGTGTGTGTGTGTGCATGTCTCTCTCTCTCTCTGTCTCTCTCTCTGTCTCTCTCTCTGTCTCTCTCTCTGTCTCTCTCTCTGTCTCTCTCTCTGTCTCTCTCTCTCTGTCTCTCCATTTCCGTCTCTCTCTCTCCATTTCTGTCTCTCTGCGTGCATGCGCGCTTGTGTGTATTAGAGTATGTGTGCTTGTGTGTGTATGCGGTGTGTGTGCATGTGTGTGTGTGTGTTTGCGTGTGTGTGTGTAGTGTGTGTGTTGTTAGAAACAAGGGTTGAATTAGATGGTACATAATATATATTATAAACACAAAAAAGAAAGTGACAGTGACTTGACAAAAACATTGATCTTTTCTTGTCTTCTTTACTCTTAATAAATGGCAATATGCAGTAATAAATCAAACTGAACAGGTCCTTGTCTGACTCTAGAAAGCCGTACAGGAAGTACACGCAGGAACACCTGACAAAAGCTGTCGAAGCCATCAAAAAAGGCCTCAGCTATGGAAAGCCTCCAAGGAGTTTAAAGTCCTGAAGGCTACATTGAATTGATCGACCACGTAGCTGGTCGGTCAAGTGTGACAAGACCACCTGGGCACGCCCTGAGCATCCGGAGGGAGATTGAGGAAAAGATGGGGAAGAAAAGTTTGGATGCAAGCTCGAGAGGGTTTTTGTTTACAAAGAGGACAGTCCTTGTGTTGAAACTCAAGATGTGATCGTCGACGAGGATCAATTCATGGAAGTCCCCTTTGCTCCAGACTCCGACTTTGAGTGGTTTGTGGATGCCACTAGAGGAGACACTCATTTGGGCACACTTTGCTCAGCGACAGTAACGGCTCAACACCCAGATTATCACAGGGCCTCATCGATAATGTCTCGCGACGAGAGCGAGAGGGCCTTTGATGTAGCGATTCCCAACGGTGAGGATACCGTCACGATCGAGCTCCCGCCTGGTTTTGGAGACACCATCTCTGACATATATATGATACAGGTTGATCCTCCAGAACACTGTGTCATCCCCATGGAGCTGCCTACCTATGACGACCCGCCCCCATGACACATCATCTTTTAACTTCACACCTCATATTAAAGGCAATGTCTTGATTAATTTAACGAATCTGTCTGAAAATTTCAGATAAGACAGTGCTTTCATTTTACAGCTAGGGAAACATGTGGGACGCAAAGTTCTTAATCTTAAATTTTCAAGCAATGCTCGAGGCAGGCATTTCCGAGTCTGATGATAGGGTGGCTGAGGACCCGGCTTTGGGGAAGCTGTTTACTCCCCCCCCCCCCTCAAGTAGCAACGCTGAAGAGACCTTCGAGCAGAGCTGTCACCAGCCACAGGTTCGAGGAAATGTACATGATAGGGTTTTGCAAAGTGTTTGCTTTTGATATTAAGTGTAGCCTGTTAATATAATATCTTCTGTGTGTTGAGCCATGAGCTGCTTCCCTGTAGGCTAGGCCAAGCATTTTCCTGTGAATGGTCAATGGGTGGGGTCTTTCTGGGAGTGTATCTGCGCCAGTGTGTTTTACACATTAGGCTTGGCTTTGGGCTTATTTGCACGCCACGTTTAGTCTGGGTGATGTCCTTGCGTGTGAGTGGCAAACTGCGACCAAAACACAAGGGTACCACCCATAGACTAGGCTACAAAACGGTGTAGGCTTGCCTAGATGGACTCTCGGACTCTTGTTCGAAATTGCACCAAGGTGGTCGAAATTGGCCCAACTGCCGGTCGAATTTGAACCTACCCCTGTCGAAGTTGAACCAAGTGAGGTATAATCACAAAAAAAGGTCAAGTATCGAATACTAGGGACCCTTGCATTAAAACGGAACCTGACAAAGGATCGAGAAACACCGTTTTATAATTTAATTCCCACTAGGGCATACTGGTATTGCTGAGCACTGAGAGGAGCCGAGTGAAGTCGACTACTATTCGCCGATTGTAAAAATCGGTCGAAGTTGCCCCAACCTACCCTATCGTACTCCAAGTCTAAGACGGGGTGCCCATAACGGATGGGGGAGGAGTACCGAAACGAGCGACCACTATGAAACAAAGTCGGATAGAGGATTAAGGTTTGGGGTGGGAGTCCGGTAGGGTTAGGGGTAGGAGGGTGAGATTCTAGGGTAAGGCAAGGTCTCTTCTTGGCGATTGTTAAGAGTTAAGATTCCCGCGTATAGTTCTGATGTGCATTTTTCAGGGTTAGGGTCAGGGTTAGGGTTATGGTTAAAGTTATGGACCAAAGCGAAACATGTCTGAGGCTATGAAAAACTGGTAACCTGTCATTTTGTCGAACGGTCATCTCGTCACTCCCCATGTGTGACAAAATGACTTAGATATCAAAATTGTTATGCTAGTAGAGTTTTGGAGGATCAGCCCAAAGCTTTTTTTTAAGTTATATAAATTATTAATGTAAATAAAATCTTCGTCCAAACAGTTCCATAGTTGAACAGTAGTATTAAGCAAAAATAATATCTGGCAAAAGTAGGCTTTTTTAAAAGTAAGGGTCTAGATAGAATCTAGCTTTTAGCAAAATTGCAGTACCGTACATTTCTATTAGCTAATTTATTTTTAACAGTGTCTAACTAATATGATCTTGCCAACCACACCTTTCAAAATAGTAATACCTAGAAACTTTGTTGTTTTCTACTAAATGACCGTTTCCATTCAACCTTGTGAATTTGGGGTGTGACGAGATGACTGTGACGTCTTGACGGCACCGGTGTGACAAAATGACTGGTATTCGAAAAACGCTCATCGGAATTAAACGCGGGAATCTTAACCATCGCCCTCTTCTTTATTGTATTTGTTGGGGTGGTTGCTCGTTACGGAAGTCCTTCCACTAATGGGATCTGCGGATCGGGCCGATCGCCTCACTCGGCCGCCTCAAAAACAAACGTGTTTGTCTTCAGCCCCATCCGCCCGTAATGGGCACCCCGTTGCCCGGTGGTATCGAATAAAGGGGGGGGGGGGGATATTGGTGAACAAGTGGTCCAAAATGAATAAACAGGGGGGAGGGGGCACATTCAACCTAATACCCCTGTACTAGTAGGAACCAGTCTGTTTTGTTTCTAATTCACTTCAGTGAATAAAAGAACAAGAGATCATGAAATTTTAGTGATTTTAGTGGGTTCTAAGTTACTGTAGCAAGTACTGTGACAACTTTTCCCTTTTAGGAACAAACCAGTTTCATTATAAAATATAAACCAATGTACAAAAGTTTTATAAATGCACCAAACTGAGGTAGCCAGCCCGGTACCGGTACAAGTACTGAGGGTAATTTGCCATTTTACTCACAAAAAAGGGTTTCATTCAGATATATTTAATTAAATTCTAGATATAATGTTTCACATGATCGTCGGTCGTGGCAAGCCGGAAAATAATAAATTGGTGGTGTGGAATAAGGAGGGAGGGGGAGGAGAGGGGTGTAAAACAAAACCTGAAAATTATTAAGCGGGGGGGGGGGGGGGGCTTATATTATATAACCCCTGAGAGTAGAGTTCTTGTAACTCTTTTTTAAAAATTAAGTTATTTCCCCCGTCTATCATGTTTTGTTCTTTTTATCTGTGGAGTGAAATGGCGTCCTCCTAGTAATTTATTTTTAATGGCTGGGGTGTTGCACTGGCAATCAAAAGATTGTGAGTTCTACTGTTATTCTCTGATCTCACTGGTAAGTTGTGGATGGATGCTTGGCTGTTGACAAAGCTGAAATTTGTTGTAAAAAATAATTATAGTATTGAGGCTATGAAGTCTTTGCAGCTCTGCTTCATAGCCAATGAGCAATTAAGTCCAAAAAGAAGGTAAAAAAAAATCCAACCAGTCAAGGGAGTTAAGTTACGTCAGTTACGAATTTGGAGAGAAGTCGTGACCAGTCATGTCTTGTCACTTTGTTTAGAGTTGTAACTTTACCTTTGCCTTAGCCTTTGATTGACTTCAGACCTAGGTAGACTTGTGATGAAGGAATACAGGTGGTGTTGGTGCCTTTTCTGATTTGCTGAGACTAGTGGCTTTGACATAGAAGTAGCGAAGTGTACAACATGTTTTGTTATAAAGAATTAACCTATGTAGTATCTTGTGAAGAAACAAGTCATTGAGATGAATTTCCAATTATTTCATCTCTCTCCATGATGACATTTTTGAAAGCTGTCTCTATTCCATTTTTGCCCTTTTTCAGAAACTATGCCACACAAGACCCAGAGGACAAAGTTAAGCCACCACTGCGTCCATACCGCTATGGTCTGGATAAACTGGTCAAATTTGTCACAACCTCAGGGGACAAGCTGGAGAAGAGAATCCCAAGTGTCTTTCAAGTGTACAGAACTTTCAGCTCAGGTATACATACTACTCTATTAGATCAGCTGGAGTTTGTACTCACTTGCAAGCAATGTTTAAATTGCCCTACTGCATCTCTTTTATGAAGTAAAATCCTTTTTTTTAAGAAATAAATTGTAATCATGTCTCCCCTTAGGTGGGAGGCTCACATAACTTCTCAAAAACTTCCTCCTTGTCAGGCTGAATAATTCCATTTGATCATTCAAGTCCTAAATAATTCATTATTGGACCCTGTAGTGGCTGGCAAGCCCATATCACTGTCAATCATTCACATTTATTTCCCTTTGTTTCTCGTCACCGTACTCTGTCACCGGGCTGAAGGGTGGCTAACATATGTGGGAGGGCGAGGAGGAGGATGTGACCAACCATGGCAAAGTTTTACCTCCTGTTGTCTTTTTATGGTCTTTTCAGGCATCAAGTCATTTGTGGCTGACACAAAGGACTACCACAGAGTGTCTCTGAGTCTTTGGCGGGGAGAGAGCTTACAGCAGTTTTCTCGGAGAGATCTGGAGCTCTACCGCCAGGTTTGTTGTGTTTCATGTCAGTGTAGCCACTACTAAGGAACACAATCATTCTCAACATCATGCCTGTGTCGCAGACCATTCCCCCCCCAAGCTCGCCATTGGATTCAGTGGTTGCCGTCTTGCTATGAGTGCCAAAAACACTGAATTGAATAAGATAATGGTATCAGAATCAGAGGCTGGCTCTGTGCCTGAATTCTCTCCAGGTATCAACACAAAAAAAATTCAGGGAGGTGTTTGAAAAAAGAAATAGCCTTGGAACTGTGTCAATGTAATTTAACTCCTTCCTCTATTGCCTCTTTCTCCAAACTGTACAAACTTGTAACACAGCTTATATCAGTCAAGGGGAAGTCCTTTGTGAGAATTAGAAAACAATTTAGGTATAGGTTACAAGGGAGTTCAGGTAAGACAAATTTGAAGTTTCTGAAGTGAAGGGTTGGGGATAAGTGATTTTTTTTTCCTTCTTGGAAGTGCGATCAATTAGAGCTTGCCAGAAATCTATCTGTTGTGTCTGCCTGTCTGTTTCAAATGGTTAGAAGGCAATTAAGGAAGTCCTGTTTGGTCACTGTCCCTCTGTTGCTTCTGTCTGTCTTGTATTTTGTCAGCTGTAGATGACCTGTACCATAATAGTATCAACTTGCTTCATGTTGATTTAAGTTCTCAAATATGTCGTATTGCTATGGGATACATCACTCCATGAAAACGTAACTAATTTGTATTTGTTGAATCATTTCATGCATATGTCATACCCCCCCCCCCCCCCCCCCCCCCTCAACTTCCCAGTTTTCTGCTGATCTGCCACTGGTTGGCCTCATGATGGTGATTGCCTTTGCTCCTGGTGGAGCTTTTGTCTTCCCTCTAGCGTGAGTATCTCAAGCCACTTTCTTGTTTTATTGGGGTTTTTTGCCACTTGATAAAGTACAGATGCCTCCATGGCAGACATGTGTCAAGTAAAATGCATGTTACTTGGTATTTGATTGCAAGGGCTCTCAGTTTTGCTTAGTCCTGTGTGTCCTGCTCATCTTAGAACAAAAAGTATATTTTATGCTTGATATCTGTTTAACTCTTTGACAGACTTGTAAATGTATCCCATATGGCGGCTAAAACCCATGATTTAATTTGTTGATTTCTCTGTTTTGAATTTAATAAAGAAATTGACATCTCTTGAAAGCTCACCATTTTAGTTATGAGGTCATATTATGGATGGGAAGCTCGGGTTCTATAACCAAAAATAAAGCGAGGTGTGTTGTTTTTCTTGCACATATCGCGCGAGACTGAGCCAAAACGTCGACTCGGAATGTTTGTTCAGTCTCAGTTCTTTGCACTTGATTTCATATGGCCTGTTCTACCTGAGTGTTGTCTGAGGATAAATGTATTTCTCGTGCTGTTTATGTATGGTTTGATGGGTAGCCTGAGCTTCATTACCAATGAAAGAAAATGAGGTGTGTTGTCTTTCTCACACATTGTCAAGTGACAAAGCCAACACAAAGAATGAGAGCACTTGTTCATTCCTAGTACTTACAAGTTGTCTACAATATCATGCCTGTTCAATGCCGGTCTTGTCAATGGATAAATGTCTCTCTTCATTTCTTTTTCTACTGCTATTAGATTTACTGATCTGTCTCTTATAATAAGCGAACAAGCATTGATTAAAGATTGTGACCTGTGATGTCATGCACACGGTAGAATTTTCCTTAGCATGTTGGGTGCATATATATGGTTAGCAATTGAGGGGTTAAAATTGTTGTTGATGCCTCAAAGTGTAATGAGAAAGTTAACAATGTTCAGTGTTTGTTAATGAGGGGTACAAAACTGGTGGTGGTGATGGGATTGTCAGTTTGAATTGCTCTGTATTTATAAGTATTGCAATGGGTGAGGTATGAATGTTGATTAAGCTTCGGATATAGATGGTGACAAAGTTTTTATTTAAAATGAGCTATGCTTATGAATGCAGATGGGTATGGTAGAAAAGTCAACATGTTTTACAGGTAGAATTCTAAGGCCCAAGGTAGAGTTATGTGAGGACTGTTGGAGGAGACTCAAACCTAGACTTCAACTTTGGCCATTCCTCAGCTACGTGTTTCCTCGTTTCCTGTTGTCTCATCACTTCTGGACAGCCGACCAGCGTGTTCAATTCCGGAGGATCAAGATGGGCAAGAAGCTGCGACATTACGACAACGTGCTGGACTTCCTGCACCTCCTGAGCCGGCACATCGAGAGCGACGGGCGGGAGCGCAACATGAAACAGCTGATCCGAAAGGTGAACCTTCAGCATGGGTCCTTGGTGTTTCTTTAGATAAACATCTTTTAAGTGAAGAAGTATGTATGATTGTCTACCTCACCCTGTGTTTAGTGTAGCCCAGCTGTGAGGTGGAGTATTTTCAGTGCTCTCCCCTGGATTTGATTCTATTTGATGTGGTGCCAGACTGGCGTTGTTTGAATTCCCGCAAGTACAGACTTTATCTCTTGCCACTTGCAGGTTCATTCTATGACAGATGTTTGGAACATGACTGGTGCTCCCCAAAATGTTCTTATTGTCCCGCTTTGTTATTCATGGTCATGAGATTTGCGCGTTTTCTGTTACCTGTTAGTATGAGTAGTTACTTAGCCCAAAATTTTGAAAACTTCTTTTCTTGGTGTTTTTAATGTGTGGTATCGGTTGAATGTGCTCAAGAAATATTTGGCTGAAGTCGTAATTCTAAATGTTGAAAACATCCTGAAAAAAAGCCCAACAACATAATGCTGGTACAGTTGTTCTGCAATCTGTAATCTGTCCTGGGCAACAACGTCATTGCACACCGGACAGGTCCATAAGTGCTCAGTTCCCCCCTGCATCAAAGCCCGCAAGGTATCCATACTGATTGTTCTGGTGGCTGTCTGATTATGGCGACGTCTTTCCTTTCCAGATAATCGTTCCTTTCTTCCTTCTCCCCTCTCTATCCCCATTTCCCGCGTCCTAATGATTGTGTGGTATTCTGCTGTCTCCCTGTTTTCTTCATCCCACAACTTTTTCTCCAGGGTCTTCAACACATCTCCTTTGTCAAATTTCACCTTACCATCAACCACGGCACTGCCTGCCAGCCTATCAGCCTCCTCATTGCCTTTCACTCCAGAGTGCCCAGGACAGAATATCCACGTGATGGCTCTAAGTGATGAGTGTTGTGTGGGGTTCATCCTTTCACTTCGAAGAAGCCCTTTCTCAACCCTTCGCAAGATGCTCTGGGAGTACGGGTACAGTTGTTGAATGAAGGAAACCCTTTTTTTTACTCTCGTATAAATTTTTGCTTTCAGGGCTTAGTACATTTTAACAGCTTGCCAAGATGTATTGTTTAAGTCACCGATTGTTTGACCTGACCCTTCTCACTCACATAGCTGGACATGTCAGTGACCTTGACCCCTACGGAGATCTTGTCTCAACTGCCTTTGTTTGAAGGGAAGCCATACAGGATGGATTCTCTCTCTATACGGCACATGGTGAGTTTCAGTGGTGAGATTCTGTGATGAGTTTCTGTGGTATTGTGTACGTGGTGAGTTTCTGTGGTATTGTGTACGTGGTGAGTCTCTGTGGTGAGTTTCTGTAGTGAGTTTCTGTCTGTGGTATTGTAGTGAGTCTCTGTTGCAAGTTTCTGTGGTATTGTGTACGTGGTGAGTCACTGTGGTGTTGCAATATGGTGAGTCTCCGGTGAGTTTCCATGAAATATTGTATACGCCGTGAGTCCCGTGGTGTTGTGTATACGATGAGTCTCTGATGAGTCTCCATGGTATTGTGTACACAGTGAGTCCTTGGTGAGTCTCCATGGTATTGTGTACACAGTGAGTCCTTGGTGAGTCTCCTTGGTATTGTGTACACAGTGAGTCCTTGGTGAGTTTCCATGGTATTGTGTACACAGTGAGTCCTTGGTGAGTCTCCATGGTATTGTGTACACAGTGAGTCCTTGGTGAGTCTCCATGGTATTGTGTACACAGTGAGTTTCTGTGGTGATTTTCTGTGGTTTTGAACACTCGATTAGCTTTTGGTGAGTTTCCATGGTATTGCTCACGATAGTCTTTATGTCGATAGAGGCGTGAAATTTTTGCAATTTTTTTTTTCTTCCTAACTCCTTATTTATTTCTCAGCCCTGTGATTCACGACCCTTGCACTAGTCATTGCTATTGAATTTTGTGTAGCATGTGTTCCAGAAAAGTGGGTTGTTGGCGGGTGCCCTGGTGTAGTTTGCTCCTTCTTTCCATTCAAACATCTGTCGTTGTTGTCTCTCCTCCTTCTGTTCTGTGTTTTTTACTCTCTTGTAACACCTTTAATCTTCAGCACTTATATGACCTTATTGTGTTGCAAGTACCGTAAGACTCTTATGTAAAACAGTAAAACAAAAATACCAGAAAAGTTTTTTAGCACATTGTACAACTTGTTGTGCCGTATTTTTCCAGCGTCACTTGAGCAAGGCGAACGGGATGTCATTGCGGAGGAGGAAATTGGTGAAAGATGGGCTTATGCTGCACTACATGGACAAAGCCATGATTAGAGAGGGCATCGAAGATCTACCAGATGAGGAGCTGGACCAGGTGAGGCTGCATTTGTTGGAGCTGAATCGCCGGGGTCAAGGCTCATGAGAGAGAAATGGTCACTTTTAAGGACAACCGGGCTAACCCAGATATCGGAGGTTTCCAGAAATCTTGATCTACACCAAAAATGGGCATTGCCCTACCTACAAGGCTAAAGTTGAAGGGTTAGGTGACTGTTCTCAGATTTTCCTTTGAAAGATAATTATCTCTTGTATAAAGAACTTCTTTTGTTAACTTTGTTTTTGTGAAAACTGGGAGGAGATGATGAGGGGCTTCAGATTTTGCTCATGTGGTTAGTTGCAAGTGTGAAGGGACAACACGATGTATAGAACTGAATACCAATTTCAGGGGTTGAGGAATCACAAAATGAAACAAAAATTCTCAGTGAAAAGGGTAAGCATGTTTGTCTCTCTCTGCCCTTCAATGTGCTTGTGTTTGTGCCTGTACTCTCCAGGCGTGTGCGTGGAGGGGTTTGAACCCAGATGGCCTGAAGAGGAAAGAGAAACTGAGCTACCTGAAGGACTGGATACACATCAGTTCTCATGTCCACGGTGGGTCACTTGTGTATGTGTTTGTTTGTTTGAGTATACACATCTGTATGTGTCTGAGTATCTGTGTGTGTCTTTGTATATTTATGTTAATGTGCACGGTATATGTGATGCATCATGGTGAAATCAGGGGCTTTTTAAAAATATGTTATGACGCAGTGGAATCACGTGCTGATCAATTTTTGGGCACATAGAGTTATTGTTATAATCTTAAAGCCTGTTCATTTGTCTTGTTTTCGTGAATAAAATGCTCATCTTCTTTGAATATAAGTCGAGATATTTTCAATTGAAGGGGGTGGGGGTCTCTGGTGTCAGAGGTAAAATTAGCTAAAGTTTAGTGACTTCCAAAGCTTGAGTGTCCTTGAAAACTGCGAATTTACATTTGGTTGTTATTAATGGGCGAGAAAGGTGTTGCTTCTTTGTAACATTAAATGCATGTCTTGCTTTGTTGAGTTCGTTGTGGGTGGTTGGCGGGTGCTCTGGTGTGGTTTGCTCCTTCTTTCCTATCAAATGTCAATTGTCCTTATCTGTCCTTCTTTTCTGTGTTTGTTACTCTCTTGTAACATCTCTAATCTTCGGCACTTATATGACCTTATTGTGTTGCAAGTGCCGTAAAACTCTTATGAAAACTAAACTTGCTTTGTTGAGTTTGTTGACGCAACCTAGTGTCTCTCTGTTACTTATTATTATTCATGTTGTTGTTTTGACAGAACCCAGTATATCCTTATTACTTCACTTACCGGTGCTGCTTGGCTACTGCCACCCAACCAACCGAGAGCTGATGGGACCGATGTCAGCGAGACAGAAGGAAAGAATTTGAGACTGTCTTCCAGTGTGACCGATATTTTGGGTGATATGCTATTCCACGATAACTAGCGGAACAGAAATAATACCTCATTTGTCCCGTCAGTCACCGAAACCAAACATGTCTCAGAATTTGCATAAAGTACTTTTTTTTTCAAATGACTGCATTTGATATGATTCTTTAGAAGTTTTTCAAATGTTCTGATCATTTAAAGTTGAAATAAATTAATTGGTACAGTGTTATCATTGTAAGAAAATATAGTCCAAATCATGCCAAATGTCCCGTCAGTTACTGTGGAGTAGCCCTGATATAATAGTTACACATGAGTGTTGGTATTATTGTTTTTTGATGTTGCATTTAGTGCACATGTAGTTTTTGCTCTAGCTGTTAGCTTTTTAGGCTGGATAGAGAGAGGATCTTTTTGTTGTTTCTGTGATTATTTTTACTGTGAAGGAATGAGAGATGGGAAATATGGACGGAAGAACTGTGATTTTTTTTTTGTACTGGGGATAGTGTGAGAGAGGAAAGAAAGATAACGGTCAGTTTCATGTCTTTCACCTACCCGGTGTCAGTCTTTGCTTTTTTTAGCATCACATACTCATTTGATTGTTAATGTGTGTTATTAAAAATGAAATGTTTGAGGGAGGAGTTGGTGGGTGCTCTGGTGTGGTTTGCTCCTTCTGTCCTATCAAACATCTATCATCCTAATCTCCTCTCCTTCTTTTTTTGTGTTTGTTACTCTCTTGTAACACCTCTAATCTTTGGCGCTTGTATTACTTTATTGAGTTGCAAGAGCCGTAAAATTCTTACTAAAACTAAACTAAAGATTGTTTGATGGCTGATTAGATTAGTTGATGACAGGTAGCAAGAGAGACTTGTTCTGATGATTGGCTCCTTGTGTGACTTATTTACTATATGATTAGTGTAGTGTTATGCTATACTTTGTGTGATGCTGATTTAAAGGTGTTTTACTTGTGTATCTATGAGTGAGAGGGTGGGTGGTTTATTTTTTTACTGGTGTGTCTGAGTGAGAGGGTGATTGGTTTAGTGTTTTGCTATGATTTGTATGGTGCTGAATAAAGGTTTTTGCTCGTGTGTCTGTGAGTGAGAGGATGGGTGGCTGAATGTTGCTGCTCTTTTCACATTTGCAAGTGATCACAGGGCGCAAAGAAGAGGAGATTTGTGAGCTGCGGAAGTTGAGCTTGTCACTATAAAGAAATGTGTTTGTGTGTGTGGGAAAGAAAGAAAAGAGTATGTGAGTGATGTGTATGTGTGTGCGTGCACGCGTATTGCTGGAGAAAGATATGGGCAGTACTTATACAAGCATACATGCATTGATATATATACATTTTATTGTTTCACAAAAGCAAGATATGGGAAAATGTGGATATTAATCATGTGAGAGCAAGACTTAATTGCACATGTATTGTAAATAATTTACCTTTTGCATTTCTATGGGCACGGGCAAGTGTACATTGTGAAATGTCTTGCCCAGTCTTCTACCACTGAGGTATTTTTGTAAGCAGTTTTATTTGTAATCTTAAAAGGACAACTGTATCTTTGATGTCTGAACGATGTTTGGTAGGTGACTGCTTTTATTACTTTGTTTGAACTTGCTGGTGATTTTCTAATAAAGATGAAGGAACTTTGATGTGAATGGAACATTTTTGTTTTTGTGTGATTTTGTTGTTGTTGCTGTCTTTTAAATTGTTTTCTCGGGATTAGATGTTGCTAGCTGTGTGTGGAGATACTGTTGTATTGTGTGCTGATCCACAAGTTGGTGGATTCACGAAGGTGGTTGGCGGGTGCTCTTGTGGTTTGCTTCGTCTTTCCTATCAAATATCAATCATCCTTATCTCCCCTCCTTCTTTTTTTGTGTTTGTTACTCTCTTGTAACCCTCTAATCTTCTGTACTTATAAGACCTTATTGTGTTGCGAGTGCCGTAAAAGTCATACGAAAACTAAACAAGTTGGTGGATTCATGTTGTCTGATCGAATAGTTGATTTACTCTGTTGCTCGCAAAAGACATGTCGGTCAGCTGTTTACAATTACTGATCCCCCAACAGGGCAGTACTACTGACTGAAGTTGTCTTTAGGCCATTCCCAACTTGGGAATATTAACATCTTCTTATGCACAGTAGAATTGTAAATGGGCTGATTTATCAATGTCATGCTCATACTGTGCCGGAACACCATAGGGGGAACTGCTGCTTTTTCTTTCCTCCTTACTATCGTCATTTTTTCCTCTACTCCTTCCCACCCTCCCTCACTCTCTCTCTCTCTCTCTCTCTCTCTCTCTCTCTCTCTCTCTCTCTCTCTCTCTCTCTCTTTCTCTGTCTTGAAATATGTTAACTGGGCGTAGAACATTTGAACAGCTAGTCGACAATAAGATTGATTTACAATGTAAGCTTTACCCATTCAGTTTGAGTTGGCCCTGAAAGGCATTGTTGAAGCAGCGAGCCTTCAGTATGGTCTAGTATGTCGTGGGGGAAGGGGGGGGGGTATCTCTTTCTCTTTCTCTACTCTCTCTTTCTCTCTATTCTCTTGCTCTCTCTCTTTCTCTTCTTTCTCCGCCTCTCCCACTTCTAAAAGCTAATTAGATCATTCTCTCTCTCTCTCTCTCTCTCTCTCTCTCTCTCTCTCTCTCTCCTCTCCCTCCCATTCTGTTTCCCTCTATCTCTTCTCTCTGTCTCAACCACTTTGGTATGATAAGTCTTTCTCTCTTTCGCTCTGACAAAATGTACAACAATTTTATTTCTCCCCCCCCCTCTTTATTTATCTCTCTCTCTCTCTCTCTCTCTCTCTCTCTCTCTCTCTCTCTCTCTCTCTCTCTTTCTCCCCTCCCCTTCTCTCTTTCTCTCTTTCCCGTTCTCTCCCTCGGCCGCTTTTTCCTTCTTTTTCTTTCTCTTCCTACCGCCCTCTCTCTTTTTCTTTCCCATTTCTCTTTTTCTCTGTCTCTCTCTCTATGGGTTTTTTTTTCTCTTTTCTCTTTCTTGAGCTCCCTCTTGCACTTTCTCCCACCACCCTTCCTTTATGTGCTTGCGCACTCGCTGTGTGTGTGTGTGTGTGTGTGTGTGTGTGTGTGTGTGTGTGTTTGCGTCACAATGCGTGTGGTACCGTTTGTGTATAGATCTAGACGAATGTGAATGATTTCATAAGCGCGATACTCGCTTGAATGACCTATTTCATTAATCATTGATGTAAAGCGCCTAAAGCCCAATTGGGAAATGGGCGCTATGGTAACAAGGTCGAAGCCCGCCTTTTAATACATTATTACAATGTATCTTGAAAATCTACCCCCATTTCTCTCACTGTTTCTACATGGCTGAGATATCCTTTTTTCTAGGGTTTTTAAAAACAAAAACAAAAAAAAGAACCCAAATAAACCAAACAAAATTTGAAAAAAAAAGCACGAGGCGTTGCGAAACTCTGTGCCCGCTTGAATATCCAGTCAAGCAAAACGCTTGCTTGGGAATTTAAAGAAAAACACTCTGGTGAAATCCTTGGGAATAATAGTGACACATACATTGAATAGAACTACATTATGTCGATGAAACACACTGCTTCGACCTGGAATTGTGCGTGTTTGAACCAAGTGGCTCGTTTGTTATGACGTCAAAACACAGCAGGCCGAGTCGTGACTGACTGAGCTAGATTCTTTTAGTTAAATAGATGTCGCCAGAATCCCTTTACTTTACCTGTTGATGTAGAACAAAGGTGACACACTGGAGGCCCGCAGACCACACCCGACCCGACCAGGCAAACAACTATTATATCCGGCCCAGGAGAGAATTTTAGCGGGTTGTAAGAGGGCGCTCCTAGAAGAAGGTCCTACTTCTATACTGTCTGTCTGTCTGTCTGTCTGTCTGTCTGTCTGTCTGTCTGTCTGTCTGTCTGTCTTTTCCTCAGCACGAATGACCATTAGTGTGTTGATGTGCTTTTCTTTACTCAAACAAGCAAAGCGAATTTTAAGTTCTCCGGTGTCGTCCTTGTTGTTTTGATTGTTGGTGTGGTCGACGAACGTCTATGTTTAGTTGGGGGTTTTTTTGCTATGTTTTGTTGTTGTTGTTGTTGTTGTTGTTGAGTATTTTACTTTGTTCCAAGCCCAGGTTTTGTTAGCCTGTGTAAAAGATTATCTGCTTCAGGAACAAATTTTCTTCACAACGTAAATCTCAGAGGGAATGCAAAACCGTGATGGTGATTGGAACTAACATTCGAGGATGATGGAAATTATAGAGATTTTAACGTTGACATTCATGGCTTTTTCTTCTTGAATTCCAAGTTCCCCAATCTTCAGGAAGTGAGTGGTTGGCGGTTGTTGTAGTGTAATTTGCTCCCTTTATTCTCTAAAACATGTATCCTCCTTATCTGTCCTTCTCCTTTTGTTGTGTTTGTTACACTCTTGCAACACCTTACGGCGTCTATATGACTTAATGGTGTTAATAGCCGTAAAATTCTTACTAAAATAAAAACAAAACCAAACCAATAAAACAAGGATTATCTGCTTCTGGGGCAGTTTTCATTTCTACGCCAGTCTCAGGGTGAAAGCAAATTAATATTGATAGTAGTCGGATGTAAATTACGAGGATGACGGGAACTATAATGTTGAGGATGATGACTTTCCCCCCTTTACTCCAAGGTCCCCGATCTCCAGGAAACGAAAGCAACGGGTACGCCTACATATCTTCCACCCCCCCCCCCCTCTCCCCCAAACCAACCACAACACCATTTGACATCGAAAGATTTTGTCAGTTTGTTAGTGTTTAAGGGCGTGCACTCTGGAGTTTGCACTGTATGCTTCCCGGGTAGACGAGATCTTGAATGTTTCTGAGTACTCTAGGGTGTGCGGGTTAATAAAAGTTGGATGACAATACGTGCTTTATAAATGCAATTCTTCTTCTTCTTCTTTTTCTTCTTCTTCTTCTTCTTCTTTTTCTTCTTCTTCTTCTTCTTCTTCTTCTTCTTCTTCTTCTTCTTCTTCTTCTTTCCCGCCAACGTGTACGCAGTTTTTCACCCTGAGTGGTGAGAGGTGGAACGTGACACGACATACGGGGCCTCTAGTCTGCTGTGTAGAGGTTAGGCGCTTCACTGTTGCACGTTGAAAGTTCGAGCTCGATTCTCGAGTAGGGAGAATTTTTGACGAATATAAGAGTCTTTTTTTTTCCAGGGACGTTGCATCCCTCTCAGCCCGTCTTCTAATTGATGTAAACTGAGTCGATGGAAGCGTTAAAACACCTAAGCTTACATACTTTTTCTAAAAGTATGACATGACACGTCAACACAGCCAGGAAAAATAATCAATAAAACGCATTTTTAGTGGGATGACGTCTTCACACAACATGGCAAGTCACACGTCAAGCCGCTCCATGTTTTCAAGCAGCCACAGTTCATATTGTTGTTTACTCGGTTGTGATTGTCTAATATTAACACGCGTCACGCACTGCTGCCACACTCT